AAATTAGAATAACAAATTAAACAAAGATGAAGAGCCTGATAGGCTAATCAATTAAAATGTTAAAACAATGATAAATCATAATTAATAGAAATAAACATAATTTTACTACTACTATCGAGGATGATCTTGAAACCAGAAAAACTTGAGTTAGTCTTCATCTATGTGATTCCTAATCTTCTATTCGTTGTTCCCCAGTTTGAAGCGGTTAAGACTAGGGTTCTGATGCATGGTCATATCGGTGCCATTGCTTAATTTTGTTGCTAAGAAATCCAGTTTTGACTAGAATCGATTCCTTGTGATGAAGGCAACAATGACAACTAATCTAATCTAATCTAATCTAATCTAACACCAACACAGCCAGTTCTTGAAAGCATTCTGGAAAATGATGGATATACCTCCATCATTTTTCTTGTCTATCGAAGATGCGTTACACATATCAAAACGGCCAGGCCTACTGTGCAGCATTTAAGGGGCAAGATGATTCAGAATACATCGGGCCTGTTTAAATCGAATACTTAAACACGATGCTTCAGAATCCAATGAATGGAAGAAACGTGGACATCTCGTACCGTAAGTTCCGATTTTGGTAATTATATGATTGGTTGATCGTTGGAAGCATCAAAGCTAGAAAGGTTAAGTGAAGCTCCATTTTCTTCTGACGGTTGGGACATGAGCACTAACTCTTGTCCTAGCCTTTTATGGCTTATATGGCTATAGCGCCATTACTCGCTTTCTGAAAAGAGAAGAGGGAAAGGAAAAAGAGAAGGACAAAGGGAAAGGATTATGATAAAGGCAACTATGACAACTGCAGGGCTGATAGCGGGTCACTTTTTAGTGACTTTGTCACTTTTTTTAAGGTGGTCACTTCAAAGTCTCTATTTTCGTCAAAAAGTCACTAAAGTCACTTTTTTTAAAGCAATGAACGCAAAATATTTTTCTTGAAAAAAAAAATGTTTTTTCAACCATAAAATCTTTTTCAGTGCACCTATGTATAGCACTCAGCTCTGTTTAGGAATATCGGTCAATTCTTTTTCGCTTTGACAGGTTGAATGTTGACTGAAGTTCACTTCTATTCGGGTCTACGAAATATGGCGCACAGGTTGACAGATCCTTATGGGGATTTTCTGTGGAGTGAATGAATACGAATGATTCACACAAGGAGTAAAGAGTTCTAGCATATGAAGATGATTGAGATTAATGTTATTCTTACTCTTTCTGGCGAAAAATTCGCCCAGACATACCGCCGAACAATGAGGTGTCCGCTTTCTTTTATTCGCAAGTTGGCAGATCTCAGGTTGGCATTTTCTATGCTGTAATTTGTGAGTTCAAGTGCTAAAATTTGTGATTTGTGATTGAATAAATGATGTTGTAATTATTGTATGTCATTAGTGAGTCCAAGTAAGTTAATAAAATAAAATTCCGCAGTGAAAACAATGACAAGAGAAATTTCATTTTTTTATTGTGCATTTCTAACCCAACTAAACTACTTTTTCGGTAGCTTTCCAAATGGCGGAAATGGTCGTAAAACTGCGCTTTTGCATTGCATCGGCTTGAGGTGTTCGGCGCACTTTTTCCTTGCCTCGTAAGGAATACGCTAAAGTGACAAGACGTCCCGGATTCACCTTCCTGTCCCGCATTACCAAATGTCCTGCAAAACGTCCCACATTATCAAGTGTCCCGGAAATTGCCTAGCGTTCGAAATTTTCCTTTTGTTTTTCGTTAGTGTATTTTTGGTTGTTTTCGATTCCATCATTTCTACGGGCTTCTTCAACGTAGTCCTAAATCCTGGTTTCGGTTTATTTAGAACTATAAAAAACCACAACACCGGTGTTGTAAATTTTGTTTTATGCTAGATATATTGTGCATTATTTTGAACCTGGTATATGCTGGAAAATCCTTTGAAGTACTTGAAGGTACTATGACATTTTGAGAACTTCTCTAAAATGCTGGGATATTCTTGTGAGATTTTTCGTATCCTCTACAATTCTGGGAGCTTCTTTTGATTTTTAGCAGCTTTGGAGAAGCTTGGTGTTCTTATATTAAGTATTTATACTAATTGAAGTAGAACTTCATTCCGAAAAACAAAATTGATGTGCAAGGAAACTATCTGAAGTTCTGGGAAATAATTTAAAGTTCTATGAACTTTTCCTGAATTCTCACATTTTCTAAAGGAGCATTCTTCTAGCGTAGCATTTTTTAATAATTCAAGACCCCCTACCCCTTCGTCCTTAAAATCAATAGACTTCTCTGAAGCTCAAAGAGCTTTTTGAACTTCTGACATATTCTGCCAAGTTCCTCAAACTTCCTTGATGTTCTGCGATATTGAATGAAAAACTATAACCCTCTCTTTAGTTAGTTTGGTCTTGAAATATTTTGTTCTTTGGAATTCTTTGAGATTCAGGGAACTTTTTTTGATTTGAACATTATTAAAATTATAAAAAATTTCCAAAGAATTAAAAAAAAAAGTTTAGACTTCTTCGAAATGCTGGCAGATTCTAAAAGTTGTTTAATTTTTTTAGAAGCTGGGAGAAATTCTCTCAATATATAAAGTTGTCTGAAATTCTTAAACTTTCTCTGATGTTCTAGGATCTTTTAAGAATCTTCTTTAAAATTCTGTAAAATTCATTAGTTTTTAGGACTTCTCTGAAATTTGAGGAAAATCTTTAAAATTTTAAAAATTTACCTGAAGTTCTTTAAAACTTTCTGAAAACTTATGATCTTCTCTTAAGGCTTTGAGTTAAGATAACATGCTGGAAGATTCTAAATAAACCCTTCAAATTGCTCTTAACTTTTGAGATTTTTTTTAAACTATATATTGTTGAAATAAACTGACGCAAGGTTCTTAAATAATTTTGAAGTTCTCCCAATGATCTTCTCTGAACTTCATTAATATCTATGGAACTTCTTGAAGTGATGAGTACTTCTATAAAGTTCTGAGGGCTTCCCTCTAAAATTGTCGTGTACTCCATGTTTCGTTGAAGTGAATTACTGAAGTCTAAGAAATAAGAACATTTACAAAGCTGTTAAATAATTTTAATAAATTAATTTCACATAATGAAGGATTATTCATCTTCTCAGTGAGAAAAATATAAGTGAGTTTATATAGTAATTTAATTGGTTAAGTATAACTAAACTGTTTTGTTTTTTTTTGAGAAAAACTAATTGTTGCACTGAAATAAAATATCTTTAGAATACGGGGATGTTGTTGTACGGTAGCGACACCTACTTGAGTTAAGAGAAGAATCAGAAATATGTAAACAAAAGTGAGTTGCACGAAAAGACCTGTTTTCGTTTCAATAGTTTGAGTCCATATCAATAGTTTTTATCGAGGGGAGCGACACATCTAAATCTCAATTCTAGATGCTCAACAAATCTCACACTAGCGAATCAATCTTCGAAAAATCTTCTTTCGTTTCTCGCATCTACACTGAAACAAGGACCATAGTTAGGAATACTATTTTGCAGAAAACACTTATTATCAATATAACCACGCTTATTGCTGTTGAATCTACTATGAATTCAGTATAGTCGACTATGAATGTTAAAAAATTTACTATGATTCTGGCAAAACTACTATGCTTGCTTAGAATGCATAGTAATTTTGATAGAAATAATAGTAAAATTAAATGGAATTGTTTTCTGCAAAAATCTATTGGTGAGGGTATTTAATCTAAACCATCAATATAGTATTTTTGCCAATGGATTTTGTTTCAGTGTAGTTCCACCGCGCATAATATTTTTGCAGGAAATCTTCAGAATCGTCATCAATGTTCTTTCTATCTACGCAGCGTGTGCGCAGTAAAGCACAGTAAACCACAATTTTCCCTGCATCGTAGATAGAGTCGCCCCCTTCGGTTTTTATGTATTTTTTAGGTGAAGTGGCTATGTTCAACCTTTTTCATGTATAAAATCAATGATTCCATGGAGCATTGTTGAATAACGAGGCGATTTGTGAATCGATGATTTTTGTGTGTTTAATTGTGTGCCCAAACTTCAATTTTTAGAAAATTATACAAATTTTCATCCAAGCTTTAAAAGAATTGATAAATTAGGCATTTTTTGAACAGGATGATATTTGCTACCGTCGGGCAGGTAAAGTATGCCTTTTTGGTGTACGAAATAAACCCTAAACAATGGAAACCAATTAATATCATTGATATGTAGCTGCCATAAACTAATCAAGCCTCTTCCACGATTCTACAGGGCGAAGAAAGTCGTCCACTCATTTCGATACATTGCTTGGGGGAATCTCTTCGCTAATCAACACTTTCGAGGTCCGATGTCAGATTAACTGTGAAAAAATGGCTGTTGTGTTTTGTATTCACATGGAATAGTAACTATCGGGAAAAAAACATTGAAAAGGAAACATTTTTTGAACATAAATTGATGCTTCTATAAGTGCAAAAATTTGTGCGTTTTCTTTTCATCAAAAACGCTTTTTAAAAGCACTAATTCGGATGGTTTTAAATGTACACCTCAAGAACATCTATCAAACAATGTTTTAACATCAAAATTTTCATTCACATTTCACTTGCACTTGAATTTTTACGAGCTTTTTTCGCAAACACATTTTCATTCGAGAAAACTCAATGTTTCGCTTAGTAGAAAATTACTATGACATGAAAATCTGACTCTACGAACTTCACACTTTCACCCCGTATCATCATATAAACATTACTTTATTAAAATACGCGTGAAAATCCTTGTCGAAATGTTGACAAAAACATACCATTTTTGTTTACGTTTTTCTAATCGTCCTCGACCCGTCAACTGATAGTGCCCCTTCCCTATAAGTAAGCCAAATACATCGAGACGATGCAACGCAAAAGCGCAGTTTTATGACTATTTCCGCTCTTTTGAAAGTCAGCGAGATTGTTCAGTAGGGTAGGGTGGGCAATGCGCAATATTTAATTTGCTGAATTTTCTTTGAGAACCAGAATCATCTTTCTTTCAAAGACTGGATGTTCTCGTTAATTGTATTAATAAAAATATATAATTTCAGGTCATATTCAATTAATAAGCTAAGATTCTAAACGAATTGAATTAATTTTGTTTTGTTTTTTAACAGTTCGAGTATCAACTGTCGCGTTTCCCTGTGCTTAAAGATGGGAAAATGTTGTTTCCGTGTTGTTTGGTTAAAGCAAGTGGATTCCAGTGGATGCACGGTATCGGATTGGGCCAAGAAACATTCAGAAACGGAAGTGTTCTGCAAAATCTGTAGAAAATCATTTTCGATTACGAAAGGATTCCAGGCCATCGATCAACATGCGAGGTCCGCAAAACATAGAGATGCATGGATCGCTCAACACGGTGCTAACCAAATGCATCTAACCGTAGAGCAAGAAGCGGGGTCCTCTGGAACAGTTCCGAACAAAAAACTTCAATTATTCAGCGCTCGAGAAAACTCCGCTAAAGCTGAAATATTGTGGCTTTTGAAATGCATTGCAGCCGATTTCCCAGTATCGTCGTGTGACGGAATTCGAGAGACGTTCTGCGAAATGTTTCCCGGAGGAGTGCCTAGTGATTTCTCGCTTGGAAGATGTAAAGCTCGATACGTGATCACTGACGCACTGGCACCATACTTTCGTGAGCAGCAGCTAATAGAAATTCGCAGCTCTCACTACACCCTTTGCTACGATGAAACAACGAATGCCGCCGGAAAGAAGGAGCTACAGATTTTGCTACGATACTGGTCACAAAAACAATCCCGAGTCGTCATTATGTATCTCGAGACATTCTTCATCGGATCAGCAAAAGCGGAAGATGTGCTGCAGAAACTTAACGACGCCTTGCAGAACGCTTCATTACCACGTAGTAATATGATCATGTTAGGTAAATAATCTACATATTTCTTGGAAACTAATATTTAATAATGCTTTCATTTATTGCAGGAAGTGACGGTCCAAATGTAAACAAGAAAATCGAACGTCTTATGAACGAGCAATTGATCGAGGAAAGAGGAAAATCTTTACTCTCTGTGGGAACTTGCAACATCCATATACTTCATAATGGATATCTCAAAGGACTAGAGGAACTAGGAGAAGATGCTTCAGATCTGATTGTGTCTGTTTATCACTTTTTCAAAGGCTGGCCGGCCAGATGCGAAGACTACGAAAAAATTCAGTCAGAGGTTGGTGTGCCAACCCACAGGTTCATTAAGCATGTATCATCCAGGTGGCTGACTATGGAGCAAGCTGCGGAAAGAGTAATCGAACAGTGGCCTGCTGTAACAAAATACTTCACGGACTTTATTCCAAAGAAGCGTGCTTCGTTAGCTAAGAAAGCTAACTATTTGAAAATCCGCAAATTCATCTCAAACTCGACAATGAAAGCTGAGTTACTGTTCGTTACAGAAAGCGCAAGAATCTTCACAAAGTTTACAGGTTCGTAAATAAGCAAACATTTCTTAAGTGATGTCTATAATAGTTAGTATAATAGTTACTAACAAATGGACTCAGTACTTGTTTTAAAAAAGTAAAATTTGAAAAACATTCATTGCCGTAAAAAATATTTAGAATATACTTTAAAGAACTTTCAATGTTACCCCGTTTTACGGTATCAGTTTTAAGTGAAATTTAAGTTCACTTTCCAGCAGATAGATAATAAAAAAATGTTCAGCAATCTTTGGCAACATTTTTTTTATGAATTTTATTGTCAAGATTTCAATGATATATGAGTTGATGTATGCTGGTTTCCAAGGAAATTTTTAGAGGACTTTGAGTCTACTTTGTAGTGGATTTTGAGTTCATTCTTTAGTGGACTTTAAATCAATTTATAGCAGTTTATTATGATGCAAATTATATGTGTCGGCTAGTTTTCAAAGTGGATTTTGAATACATTTTGCGAAAAGTTGCCAGCATCTTCAGAATATATTTGGATTTTGAGACCATTACTAAGAGATCTTTGCGCTTTTTTCATTTGTGTTCTTTTTTAGTGGACTCTTCAGGTGGATTCGTGACCATTTTACAGCAGCCTCTGGATTATTTTTAGGCAAATTTTGTGGACTTCGAGTCCACTGTTCGATAAGATTATTATGTTACCCATCTCTGCCATAATTTATGAGTGAACTTTGAGACCATTTCCTTTGTATTTTTTTCCAGTGATTTTGTGACGTAACCAACTGTTTAACGGTCTTCACTTTTTTAAAGAAAATTGTTCAGCACTCTGCTATCAGTTTTCAATTAATTTAAGACCAAGATTGCAGTTAATTTTTAAGAAGTTTTCGAATCCTGATTTCAGTAACAACTTTTTAGTGTACTTTGAGTCCACTCTGAATTGAACTTTGATATAATTTTCCATCAATTTTAAGTGAGCGCATGTTGATACCGTTTTTAATGATTTTTGATTTTATTTTAGTGTTTTTTTTTTAGATTTTCTTTAAACTTCAAGTCTCAAATTGTGAGAAAAATTTCCAACAATCGTTGCGATTTTATTTCATTTAGAGCTAGAGACTTCTCTGTAATACTTGATTTCTCTTCCAGTGGTCCTTGCGATCATTGTCAGTAGCTGTTGAAAGCAATCTTTGAGTTCATTCTTCAGTGTTTTTGGTTGCAGAACCAACACACGCTTGATTGATGTCAAAGCAATCGTAAAATTTTTATCACCATTTATTGCGTTTTCTTTAAATGTCTAACATTCTCAAAAATGAAAAAAAAAATATGGAGCTGCCAAAATATTTTAGCTTCTACACATTTTCAATGTATTTAAACTTTATTACCCTTGAATAATGTTTAATACTAGGTTTAATACCTTAGTAATTCACAACTTTCTTAAATGATTTACTATTTGTTTTATTTTATTTATTATGTAGGTATGTTCCAAAGGGAAGAACCGTTAATCCATGTTATGTATAAAGAGCTCGAAACGCTTGTTCGAACACTCGTCGGAAGGGTGTGTAAGCCAGACGCTTATAAATCGAATAGTATTCCGGATGAAGCAGTTTTCAATGCCGAAAATTTGCTGCCATCAGAAGTAATTGTGATAGGGACGGAAATATCAGATCAGTTAGCGCCGTTGAAGGAACTTGATAGAATTAACTTCCTATTGAACGTGCGTAAGCACTATATCGCAGCTTGCAAGCATATTCTGCAAAAGGCTTCACTGAAAAATTCGTTCATCAAATCCTGTCGCTGTCTTCATCCAGACGACAGAAAATCAAACCGAAGCGTCAAAGAAATAGTGCATATCGCCAAATCACTTCCTTTGAACATCAAAATAGACGCTTTGATCGATGAATGGAACTTGCTTCGATTGGAAGCCGAGGAACCTATGAGTGGAAGAATTGACGATTATTGGACTCAATTTTTATCCAAAAAATCTCCTAGTGGAGATTATAAGTATCCTTTAGTCATACAAGTGATTAAAGCCACTCTCAGTGTCTCCCATGGAAATGCTGAAGTTGAGCGCGGGTTTTCTAAATCTTCACGTGTTTTGACGGAAGACAGGGCTTCCATGAATGAAAGAACCCTGAACGCTTTAATGACTGTTAAAGCTGTTCTCAGACAATTCAACAATCAACCTCATTTGGTTCCTGTAACGAAAGAACTTCTGCACATGGCACATGGTGCTCATCAACGATACAAGTTGTTCTTAGATGAAGAAAGGAGGAAGGAGGAGATGAGTAAACAACAAGAGATTGAAGATGCTGAGAAAAAACGAAATGTTGAGGAAGGAGCAAAAGCTAAAGCTAAACTGGAATTGTACATAAAGAAAACGGAGGAAGAGCTACAGTCAATGCGAAAGGAAGAGAATGAAAAGCGACGTACTGCAGATAAGTAAGCTGATATAATTGTAACGGTGGTGATTGAAAAACTAATACACTATATTCCAATTTCAGATTATTTGCGGAAGCAAAGGATAGATTAAAAATCGCCATTAAAAACAAAGATATGGCTGAAATAGAGCTGGCTCAAGCCATGCTTGATGGTGTCGAGTCAGTGCGCAAAAAGCAAGCGTCGCAAAAACGAGCAGCTGACAGCATGGAGGAAATAGTCAACAAGAAGAAAGCAACTGTTATAACTAACTACTTCGGAAAGAAGTAGTACTAATTTTCCTATTTTGGATCCTCTATTAGCTGTCACTAGATTCATGTACTATTCATTGTTGATTTTAAACTGTTTATTAATAAGGTGAACGTTAACCTGATACTTTAACTAGTCAAATATATTGGTTCCATGCAATCTGCATTCAAAGTTGAAGTCATCATTACGTTTCTGTGGACCACTCAGTGTTCGCTGAAGGATTGTTTACGTCCTGATGATGGATGATAACAAACTTTAACTGGAAAACAAGGAGAAATTCATACTAATCAAAGAATCTAATCTCGACACAGAAGCATAAGATTAGGTTGAATCACATTAAATTCAACCCAGAAATAGACATTCATTTTACATTTTTTTTGCAAAAAATGTTAATTAAAACAAGTGGTTCATTATGGGATGCTGAAAGCTTTAGGGTTTTAATTTGGAACATCTGATTATATGTGCTGTGCTTCCGTAATTGGTAATTTTCCGTTTGATTTAATCAATATTTTTCATAAAATAGATACTGAATAGTTGTGAAAGGAAATGGATTTAACCGGATAATCGCTCCAGTTTTTCTGACCAATTACAATAATACCAATAGTGCACTAAACGAAGCGTTCAAATTTAATAAGAGGCGTAATGCATTAGGAGATGCTATTAGATAACGAATAGTATTGCGAACTCAAAGCTGACAAAAACTCATATGGGACTGATGTGCAGCCCTGCCTGTAAGAAAACTGACAACATATAAGTGCTTGTATACAATACCAACCGAGGGTCACAGTCTCGCCATTCAACGCTCAAAGCTTGAGCGTATTTGTTCAAATGAAATACTATATGGATGCGCATGAAAGCTAGTAGAATTGCCAGTCTTCTTGGTACGTTGTGTTCCATCGAACAGCTGAAATTTAGATGTGTTTTCCTGCAGATGAAGACGGATTATATAGGTTGTTGTATTATAAAACACGCAAAAACCATACAATAGCGATTGTTTTTATTAACGATAATTATAATGAATTTTCATAGCATAATGTTAAAAATGTAACACACATTTTGGGCAACAATTATGAATTTGGAACAGGTTTACTGAAAAAAGGATTTATCTTGAAAATTGAACAAAATGAAAGAGTAGCCAGCAGCAGGCTACTGTAAAAATCAATCACTCATGTCTGTTTACAACAGATACCGATCATACAAGAACAAATACTACTAATATTGACAAAATGCTTAAAATCTTCTTATACATTTTTAAATTGGAGCTCAATAAGTTCTACTTGGGTCTTCTTTTTTGGTCACTTTTTGTGCCTTAAAAGTCACTTAATGGTCACTTTTTTACTCATTTTAGTCACTAAAATCACTATTTTTGGATATATTTGGTGCTATCAGCCCTGCAACTGTATAAAAACAGAATACTTCATCATTTCTTATTTGTGATGGAGTAATGCGACCTGCATTAAACTAAGGACACGGGATATACCACAATAGATCAAATTACTGGTCGCAGTGGTTCTGTGTCCTAAACAGAGGGGAAAAAAATGCTCATAAATATGTATGTTTCTTCGTTCTTAATAATAATTCATGACAGAAGAAGCTTTCACGAAACGTGTGATGCAAAAACATCGGATTTATATTATTTTATTATTTTTCCGACTCAACTTTCAAAAAAACAATCGATAACCAGGGAGCCAGGATGATGTTTTATGCTAAATATATTTGTGATAAATCTGCTCAAAGCCCAATTAATATTCGATTAATCACCAATCTAATCGACATACCAACTGTCACACGGAAATTTTTTGCTTCATCGCCCAAATTATGTCCAATCATCACCTGAGCTGCCGAAACGGAATAGCTCAATTAGATCACGGTTAATAACGGCGCTTCCTTGCCTCCCGTACTTACCTACCAATCTGATGCCTCACACGCTTTAAAACGCACATTACCCACCGTAAGCTAAATATCTACCGCCTTTACAAATCCGATGACTCGCCGATGGTTGTGAACAAAGCAAAAATCGCAAAACTGCCGGATCGCGCACATGGCATGCCGCTTCGTCACTCTTTAATCGCGGACAATAACAATAAACATTAGCAAACGATTGTTTTGCTCTGCGAACCCCGACTGTCAGTTTTGTCTGAGTCTAGTTGCCAGGTTCAGTGGATCGTCGCTGTGGCCAATTTCCTATTCGGTCACGCAGTTTTTTTTTCTCTCTCTACAGGTCTATCGTCCAGTGTCCGTTCGTGGTTTATTTAATTTGCTGTTTTACTTTGCACATTTTGTTACAGCAGTCTCTTTTTACGATCATGTCCAAATGTTGTACCACACTACTCGATGATTAACTGCAAATTTGACGGCGTGGTAATTTCCGATTCATTATACCCGGGTGGTGCGAGAGCATGTGCGAATTGGGCATCGCGAAACGAGCGATGATGAATGCCAACATGATACAAGGCATTAGAGAACAATAGAAATCCAGTAGTTGAAGCGTTTATGTTAAACAAAAACCGACATAATCGCAACATCCATAATTACAACAACAACAACTGCGGCGGAGAGATAACCTTTCTATTTGCATCATTTAGCATGTCGTCGTCGTCGGTCGTCGGATGTTATAGTTGTTGGTGAGAAATGTGGATGGGAATTTGCATACAGAGAAGCTCTAAATACAAATGATACTTATCACAAAGCTTCTTGCGAGTGGAATTTCGCAGTGTTTGAGACACTATAATAGCAATTCGAAAGACACACGTCTACTCACGTGAATGAATAGGTTTACTCCGAAAGGTAATTTGCTCTTTGCAGTACCTATGTATGTATATGTTTTTTTTTTTTTTTTTTTTTCTTGGTTTGTTTTTTCCGTCGATCTTGTTTTCCGTGCTGAGCACCAATGCTACCGACGTGCCAGGAAGGCAGCTCCCACACCTGGACCCTACCTATCGACCCATCAACTCATGAACCGGGGACCAACGGCTTTACTTCCCATCCGAAGGAAGGCGTGATCAGAGATGTTATGCCTCAGAACATCCCGGCGGCGCCGACTGGGGTTGAACCCAGGCCTGCTGGGGTGAGAGGTCATCACGCTTACCACTACACCATCGGCGCCGTTATATGTATATGTAATTGAACTCTTTTAAAGGAGCACTGAAAGCAGTAGGTACGTTATCACTTTTCATTGCTATTGGCGTTGACGGCACCGTCGAAAAATTTGCTCTTCCAACAAATATTGACAGTTTCTTAAGGGAATTTTCGGTGGAGTGAAAGGATAGTACCAAGTCCGCCATGTTTCACGCACAGTCTGACGTTTGCTTATGGATTTTCTCATAGGAGTAAAGAGCTACAGAGTCGCCGTCAACGCCAATTAAGAGAGGAAGTTATTGGAAATTAGCAGCTGGTTGCAAAAATATTATGTAATAATAATGTTGCTTTTGGGATGAAACTGGTCAAGCCCTAACCTGCAGGCAAAGCAAATGGCATATGCACAAAATGTAGACATAAATTGCTTACTTCATCTGTAGATATTTCTTGTGAGAGCTGTCCCTAGTTGTCACAAACCGGAAAAGGTAACTGCTGTAGGGCTCATTTTAGTCACAAACAAGTTGCTCCAACTTCGTGTGACAGATGTGTGCTACTTGGGGTAATAGTTGTTCTTACAACAGCCTTTAGTGAACATGCAACTTTTCCACAGTCAACTTTTTCGTACAAACCCTGAAAAAGATAATTTTCTGGATTTAAACGTGCGGGAAAGTATTTCACCTACCCGACACTGTGCAACGAGAGTCTCGTTGTGTCCATCCCGAAGGCCAACGAAAAAGCCAAGGTGTTCGAACGGATGGTGAACCGTCGACTTAAGATGTTCCTTGAGACCAACAGCTTGCTCAACCACCAACAACACGCCTTTCGACAAGGTTTCGGTACGTCTACGTACTTTGCCTCCTTGGGGGACATCCTCAAGGAAGCCTACGACCAGGAACACCACGCGGCAATCATCTCATTGGACATCTCCAAGGCCTTCAATCGGACGTGGGCGCTAGCTGTCCTGAGAAAACTTGCAAACTGGGGCTTGAAGGGGCACATGATGTCTTTCATACGAAACTTCCTGACCGACCGGTCATTCCGTGGTCAAGAAGTTTCAGCGATGAGACCGGGGTTCCTCAAGGCTCTGTTATCGCTGTTTCTGGTAGCTATGAACGGGGTTCCCCAGCTACCTGGGATCCACATGTTTGTTTACGCTGATTGTGGCCACCGGTCCCACACAGATCCGAACCCTACGGCAAGCGCAAGCGGCAGTCTCTGCCGTTGTTAAATGGACCGACTCGATGGGCTTCCAGCTGTCCACCAGGAAGAGCATCCGAAGCCTCGTATGCCCGTCTCATCATCGAGTCAATAGCACCCCAGTTACGATCCACGACCAAGCCATTCCGACCAGGAAAACAGTTCGCGTCCTCGGCGTACTGATCGACCGAACGCTTTCCTTCGACCAGCATTTCCAACAGGTAAAAAATAACTGCCGCTCTAGACTCAACCTTGTTAAAACGATCTCTCGGCCTCACCGATCCAACAACCGCGATGTTCGGTTCCGGATGGCGCGAGTCATCATCGACAGTAGGTTGCTTTACAGGACGGAAATTACGTGTATCGCCTCCGAGAAGCTGGTTAGAACCCTAGAACCGGTCTACAACAACTACATCAGCATCATATCTGGTCTCCTGCCATCCACTCCAGCAGACGCTGCATGCGTCGAAGCGGGTCTTCTTCCTTTCCGGCACTGCTTAAACGTAAATATTTCCACAAAAGCCGCTGCTTTTTCCGATTATCATTTTGCGCTTGGAGTCGACTGGATGAAAAGACAGGCCCTTCTCTCCTATGATAACCGAAGTAGGTATGCTTGTGACTAGCCATTTGATCCTGGACGGAAAACTCTTTCGGGGCTCCTGACCGATTTACAAACCATCTCTGTCTATCGCTAGAAAGTTTGAGCATTGCGTTGTTTGTAAATTACAGGTTACGATTGCGAAAAAAATCGACAAGAAACGGAGATAACCTTATTCGCGAGATGGAAAACGAAGGAAAGTTCGTGCGAGCCGCAGATAGTTCGGATAGTGGTCACGATGAGCCGCACAACATCAATAGCTCAGTGTGTTCGGATGATCGGAGTCAGGAACCGAGCGGAAGTGAAGCAGGATGTGAAAGCGATCACGAGCATGACGAAAGCGCTGGTTCGATCACGTCGAACACTCCAGATTCTCCAGGAAGGTCGAGTGAAAATTATGAATGCGTTGATCAGGTAAGCATGGTGAACAACGGGACACCACCGGAGGAACCGAATGGAACAAAATCCGAGACTGTCGAGAAGATCGAACGCTTGGAGAAGTTCATAGCGGAGTTGACGAAAACGTTGAGCACGTATGAACGATCGGGTAACAGGACGTGTCCCGTTGTTGACGTTAATTGAAGCGTCCCCCACGATTCGAGCGACCGCGCGGATGGCATTCATGCCACTGTGAGATGGGATCACATCAGACCTTTCCCGAGTGGTATTGCCGCGAACAAAATGTGGGAGGAATGGAACCGCTTTATAGAGAATTTTTAAATAGCGGCCTCCCTGGGAAACGCTGTCAATGCCGCACAACGATTGAAACTTCTCTTTCTTTGCTTGGGTTCAGAGCTTTAGGGCATTGTGAAAGCTGCCAAGCTGCGACCGAGCCTGGCAGAACCCGACTGCTATTCAGCCATCGTGAACAATATCCAACGGTACAGCAATATCAAAGTCCATGACGGATACAGCAGCGGAACACGAGGCGTTCGCCGGAATGATACAAGGGTCTGGAGAATCCGCGGTAGCATTCCACGCCAGAGAGAAGGTTAGATTATGCGGCTACAGTCCCACTGACTGAGAGCGTTTCGTCAGAGCCCAATTGCTGAAAAAACTTCGAAACAGGGATCTCACCAAAACAGCGACATGAATTGAACTACGACATGAATTTCATCATCCAATCAGCAACGAGGGGAGAAGCTTACCAAGTGGAAACGAAGCAGCCTAGTGGTTCCGACATTTCCGCAGTTCGTCGGTGAAAATGGAACACAGCCTTAAACTCACCTTGACACCTAAATCAGTAACCCAACTCATATGCCCTGTTGATATTAACAAACCGAATACAACGGAATTGAGTTGATGTCAGATGTTATGTTTTTCCTATGTTGTCTTTGATTCACAAAAAAAAACAATCCTTGATTTTTTTTATTCTTGGGTCGTATTTTTAGTTTTTCTCTCCGTATTGTTTCTTCACTATAATTTATCATGCGTTTTCTATGGAGGAGGAGAAGGAAGATGTGAGTGGGTTCAATGTAACCCTCGTTCGAAAAGTAGCCCAGTTCCAAGGTGAGCTATTGTCAACACGTCATCGTGGCGAGGCGATCAGGCTCATCGATGAATGGTTCTCTTTCGATTGCTGATTGACCTCGAGGTAAGACGCGTGGACATGCGCAATGCGTGAGTATGGAGCTCCGAAGGGCTGGGTGATTCCCGTCCTGAGTATGGTGCTCACACTATCGACCCATCAACTCATTTATTTATTTATTTATTATTAGTTTACATTAACAGGCTGAGCCCCAATGATGTTTAAGTGAATAAAATTAAAATACATAGTCCAGCTTACTAAAATACACAATACAATAAAATACATTCAACGGTTTACTGCGTCAGAGAAAATACGGGAAAAGCGCCGGCGTAGCATCTCTCGTGTCAGGTTGAAATCGAACACTGAAGAAACTCGATTGAACACACGTTCAAGGCCGTCTATAGCACCGTTCATGCTATAGTTAGTGCGATGCTGAGGCAATCTTAACATAGCGTTATTTCGCAGCGCTCGGGGTTGGACGTTCACGTTGATCTTCTCCAGGATTGTAGAACAATCAGAACGCGAAGTGTCTCTCCGAGTACGTAGAAGCTCCAGATCAATCAGTTGACATCGACTTTCATAACTGGGTAGACGAAAGGGGTTTCTCCAAGGCAGCAAATCGAAGAAATCGACGCTGAACGGATTCAACTCTTTCAGCACCATTGTTATAGCTTGGGTTCCATACTGCAGAGCAATATTCCAGGGTGGACCGCACCAAGGAACAGTATAGCAATTTGAGACAACATATATAGGAAAAAATCTTTGCAATCCTGAAAATAAATCCCAAAGATCTTGACGCCTTGTCGACAATGAACGAAATGTGTTGATTATACGTTAACTGGGAATCCAAAAAAACTCCCAGGTCTTTTACGTGGTTGACACGGCTGATAGTTGTTTCCTGAAGTACATAATTGAACATTATCGGTTCCTTCTTGCGAGAGAAGGTGATAACTGAACACTTCGCGGGCTTGACCTCCATTCGGTTCAAGTTGCACCAGTTAGCAAACGCTTCGAGCTTACATTGGAGGAAGTGACAGTCATCGATAGAACGGATCCGGATATAGATTATAAGATCATCTGCATACGATAGACGAGGGCCTTCGGGGACAAGATTCACGTCGTTAAAGTACAACAGGAAAATCAACGGGCCTAGGTGACTTCCTTGAGGTATCCCTGACGTGGCTGGGTAAGTAGCAGACTGACATTCACCAACAGTTACCATAAGCTGGCGATCACTGAGATAAGAACGAAACCATCGCAGGAGGTTGCCATTTAGCCCAAGTCTATCTAACTTAGCAATCGCAATTACATGGTTCAGTTTATCGAATACAGCCGACAAGTCGGTGTAAATTAAGTCTGTTTGAGCCCGTTCTGTCATGCTTTCCGTGACATATGATGTCAGACAAAGTAGATTAGTGGTAGTACAACGACCGGAAACGAAGCCGTGTTGATCACAACTTAGATACTGCTTACAATGAGAGAGCAGGGGCTCCATGATGACTACCTCGAATAACGATGTGATTCCACGGTAATTATCCACGTCCCGTTTGTTTCCCCTTTTTGAGAACAGGAAACATATGTGCACATTTCCAACAAGATGGAAATATACCACTCGAGATGGACATGCGGAAAAGATGCTGCAACGGTGTCAGTAAGCTGGCGATATGCTTCTTCAGAAATACTGATGGGACACCATCGGGCCCTGGGTTGAAGGACGACTTAAGTTGTTGTGCGGCAGTGGAAATCATCTCAACGTCGATGTCAATTGCACCCAACGCTTGACCGGAGAGTTGTACATTACTAGCTGCTAGGGTAACGTGGTCGTTGGTTAATATCTCATCAGATAATACGCTGGCAAACTTGTCTGAAAACAAGCGACAGATCTCCTGAGAGGTGGAAGCAACTTCTCCGTTGAACATCATTGACGATGGTAGGCTAGACTCTTGCGCTGCTCGTTAACGTAATTCCAGAAGGACTTCGGGTGTGACTTGAGTTTACCCTGAATCCCACCTTAATATCGCGAATAGCATCGATGGCTAACTCGCTTGAACTCATGATTGAGCCTAACGTAATGATGTTTCAGCGACAGCGTGAGATACTTGGTGAATTGCCTTAGTGCCGCTCGCTTGGTCGATTTCAACTTTCACAATTGCCTCGTCTGCCAAGGAAGGTGTGACTCTTTTCGGTGAACTCTCTTTGGAACGTGTATGTCAATGACATACGCCAAGACATGTGAACAAGTTTGCGCAGTGGTTTCAACGTTATCAGAGTCCAGGACGCTTCCCCAGTCTATGCTAGACAGCACGTCGATCACTATGATCAGCTTTCCGAAAATCGTATGACACGTTTGTGGAAATGTCTTCAAAATCCCGAACGTGACTATCTTGGACAGTGACAACCAAAGGAGGATGATGAGGAACTTGCTTTACTAGTGGAGAAGGTGCCGTGGAGATAACTGGAGCAGTGTCCTGAGCGCTAACGAAACAGATGTCTAAGCTTCGATTGTTCTTGTTAACTACGTTATTGATTAGAGATAGCGTTGCTGCACTATAGCTATCGAGAAGGCTAACTGATCCTGTATGAAATACAGAGCGTACAGGGTCTGGATAGAGAAAGCCACTGTGAGATGGTTTCCACGAAACACCAGCTAGATTGCCGACACCCAGAACGAATATCTCATCAACTGGAGTTGCAGTTTCCATTACGGCGAAAAAGGACCGACAATGGGTTTTGATAAGTTCGTTGTCACGAACACGGTCAGGAGCAATGTACACCGCACATAAGTACAGTGTGCGATCACTCAGTTCTACGGCAACCCATGCTTGGTCCACACACTCCCACGTGTCATTTTTTAAAGCTCTCGTCTTCAAACCGGAACGAACTGCCACAAGAACACCACCTCTATTAGATTTCCGACTGTTTTTAGGATTTCGGTTGCAGCGAAAGACTTCATACTCGCGTCCAAACCATTAACCGGGGACCAATGGCTTTACTTCCCTTTCGAAAGAAGGCGTGATCAAAGATGTTATGCCCCAGAAAATCCCGGCGGCGCCGACTTGGATTGAACCCAGGCCTGCTGGGGTGAGAGGTAATCATTCTTACCACTACATCATCGGCACCGCTTATAAATTTTAAATTGGTGTTTGACCGCATGATATTCCAACACACTTGTGGCGCAGTGGATAGCGTTCTTAGATCGCATGCCGAATACACGGGTCGAATCCAGGAGACTGCTCTTTAATTTAACTTTTTTTAATGTTTGGATATAATATTGATGAACTGCATAAATTCGAGTCGTATTACTCCATCACTATTGAGAAATAATGAAGTATTCGATTTTTTAACAGTTGTCATTCTTGCATTTATCGCAAGGAT